GGTCCGTCGGTCGGTCGGTCGGTTGGTTGAACGCAACGAATTCAATTTTGTGCATTTCACTTCATTCAGTAAAATCGTTTGTAGTCAATTGTCTCTTACAGCTAACACATTGCGAGGGAAAGGAGATTGGAGAAAAATCATTTGAACTACATTTGTACTGCCTACCAAACATTGCCTCTACATTCTGGATTGTGGATCCGATAGTGTGACATTTCTAGTAGTTGTGAGGACCTTGACCTGTTACTCTCTACCCCCACTCCTTACCATGTCACCGTTTAAAATGTTTGTTTTTACAATGAGAGGGGGAGTGGTATATTGTTCCATGTCTGAAACGTGTACTCAAATCTGAGAGGCAAAACAAATAAACCTTGCACGTGGCAAAACGTACGATTAATTCTATACAATCCGGATTAGATAAGAACAAGTGTTCTACTGGACGTTAACCTGGTTTTGGGTTTTCCCCCTAACGCAATGATGTCAATATCAGGGGGTTCCATGTCAACATAACAATAAACGTCATTTTAAACTTCAACAATGTATCTACAAGGAGATTGGTATAGTATCTGTATCGCTTGGACCACACAGTTGGCATTCACCACAGCATGGTAGTCTCTAGCAGACTACGCTGGCTATATATAGGAGAATAATTGCAAGGTGAGTTTGACCGCCTTGTAGGTTTGACTGGCCACTTCGGAGGGAAAGAAACTACCTCCCCGCGGCCGGACTCCCTTGGCCAATTCTACTCTCTTTTTTGCCGAATTCTACGATTCGTATTCCCGTAGAAAGGTCTGGTGGAGGCTAAAAGCAATAGTATGCCCGATGAGTGATCTAAAATTCCTAGATTCATATGAAAACATACCAGTAATAGATACTCACATTTTCCCACGTGAAGTCCATAGGAGGTCTGCGAATGTAAAAGATGTCCGTAACTTTCTCAGCAGTCAGAAACTCGTCTTCTCCAAAAAGCTCTCTCACCTTCTCTCCGACGTACACAAACTTCATGTTCCTCTGGAAAACCACGCAGAAGGGGAACAGTTTGAGGAACCTGAGAGCAGGGACCTGTTCTTCCACCGACAGACTCCGTATGCACTTGATTTTGGGAGGAATGAAGGCGCTGTTGTCGAAGTAGAGTCTGAACACCACGTGGTACCCACGTCCCTCCTGAAAGTCTTTTAGTTTGACCATGTTCAGGTCGAGATTGTAGAAGTTTTTGGCCACTTGTGACATCTGCCCGCAGACGTAGTTGGAGTACCCTGTCCTGCAGCTCTGGTAGTGCAGCGTCAAGCCTTCGTGACTCTCCTCCTCACAGTAGAACGAAGGGCTCTTCATCTTGGGGTAACTAAACCTCATCATCTCGTGGATGTTGTCGATGCCGTGCACGAAGTCCCTGAAGTGCCGCCCGCTGACGCGCACCACCCGGTCGTACCCGTAGTGCGACCAGAAGTTCACGAAGCAGGTGCCGAAGAAGAGCAGGAAGTCTTCGGTGGACTTGTCCATGACCACCGCCGAGCAGTTCTCGGCGATCCGCGGCAGCACGTCGTCCTTGTACACGCGCTGCGTCGCGAAGACGGTGTTTTTGAAGCCAGAGAGTTCCAGTATCTGCAGCCATTTCTCCTCCCCGTACACCTTCCGTACGTAGTGCTGTACGCTCTCCACCAACATGCCGTACATGGTGCCGGGTGAGGGGAACACTGACTGTCGCCTGTCGTATCACCCGGCACGCCGCACATCCGGGAAACTCAGCAACGGTCGTGCCCCTCGGCTGTCAATCACCCCGCACACGATCAGACGAGAGTGGTTCTTCCCGGGCCTAGAAACACAAATCAGACGATAATTACGTCAGCTACGCAACAACCTGTAGCCACCCAGCCACACTGGATTAGTATCGTCCAATCCTCTGAGATTAACACTTTATAATGCAGGTCTTTTTAATAGCACTTTGGTGTTTGGTATACTGTGTCTCTGTGCTTGCTATATATCTCCAGTCGTCTGTTTTATAAGACTCGCTTTACAGAACGTGCCATGGAAGAACGTGGCGTGTGTATATACTGTTTCCCTTCCTCTATATACGATACATATTTCAGTTGCTTGTGCCATAACAAATCCCCCCATAGGCATAACGAGCGCCGTGTGATGCCCGGGTGCAGCGCGGCGGAGCAGGCTGCAATTTCCCGGGAGGCGGACACGCTGAATTGGCCCACATACATGACATTCATTCCCGCCACTGGATATGTAGCCTGGTATCCAGTCTTATCGTGTTGGGGGCAGGTTTTCCTCGGGGCTGCAGGAGCTCTTCCCCGCCCGCCTCAGCTAGGTTTCCCCGCTAGGTTTTTCACGGCAGGAGTTTGATCCGGCCCACCACCACGATCAAATCAACTTCCCCGGCGTGCCATCTCTTTTAGCGTAACACTCCTACCGGGCGGCCTGTTGTACTGGGCGGGGAGAAACTATTAGAGCCCCGAAGACACAGCCTGACTATACCCCAACCACGATAGATTGGATACCAGGCTACTCGATATGGACGGTCTATAGAAGCGACAGCGCCGCAAAAAGACAGGAATTGCCAGGCGCCATCCTGATACTGGGGCAGCTATCTGTCACCAAAATGAGCCGTGGCCACAGTTTATATAATCCAGTCGATGGACAGGTCTTTCCCGTGAAACATGCCATACATGCCTGGCCTCTGTTTACAGTGTATTTCCTTCCCACTGCACGTTTTCCCCTAAACGACCGTGGCAGCGCTGTTAGTGGGTATAAGTGAACACTGTTCCCGCCAATTTGTCTTGTTTCTGCGCTAATCACGTTAACAGGTGCGGACGGGGTCGTAAGGCCATAGCAAGTAACTTTTATGGATGACATCCACCGCAGACTCCAAATCTAATGCGATAGGGCGAAAAAAAACAAGACGGGCCAAAAACAAAATTCCTACATTTTAAAATTTTGACATCACAAGCCTTGTTAAACAAGAATTGATACCTATATTGTGCTAAGTTTACTGCCAACTACTAGTATTGCACATTGTTACATTTCTCACTGAAGCAACTTTGAAAACTAAACGTTTTCAATCATTGTACAAATGGTTTTGATTCAGTGGGAAGATCACATATACACAGCCACCATCACAAGAATGAAATACATCACTGCATGAAAGAAGTAAAAGAGAGAACATTAAATCAGAGCCTTGTCTTGTCTCCTCTCTTCATATTTATCTGCCATCCACGTTCCGACATGGCAGCAGACATCTTTCAGATATCTGTCAGAGGGCAACAATGTTTTTTTTTTCGGTCAGGCGAAAATAACTACGCGCGCTGATGTCATCCATAAAAATGACTTGCTGTGGCCTAATGAAGGACGCCCTCTGACATAACCACCAGCAATTCATTTGGATCCAGTCATTATCGCCTCTGCTCAACACGGAGCATACCCGGGTTTACGAGGACATCGCCGCTGCCGTAAGCTATGCAATTTATCACGCCTGCATGTCGGCCGAATATCAAGTTTTATAGCTCGTATTTCTCAAGTGCATTGTCAGAATTTGTGCCACGGTTTGCATGGTGAAATATCGCAAAGGTAGTAATATTAAACCTTCAAAATCCAAGTGCTGAGATCGAGAAAAAGGAAGTTTTATAGCTCACATTTGTCAAGTGCATTGTCAGAATTTGTGTCACGGTTGCCATTATAATATATAGCAAAACTGGTAGTTTCAACCTTTCAAAATCGAAGTGCCGAGATAAAAAAAGACATTCTGCCACAGTTGTCTACATTTTCTTCAAGTTTTATAGCTCGCATTTGTCAAGTGCATTGTCAGAATCGGTTTCCATTGTAAAATATCGCAAAGGTAGTAATATAAAACGTTCAAAATCCAAGTGCTGAGAGAAGAAAGGGCGTTCTGACAGTTTTCTACATTTTATTCGGCCGAATGTGAAGTTTTATAGCTCGCATTTGTCAAATGTATGGTCAAAATTTGTGTCACGGTTTCCATGGTGAAATATCGCAAAACTGGTAGTATCAAACCTTCAAAATCCAAGTGCTGAGATCGAGAAAAGGGAAGTTTTATAGCTCACATTTGTCTAGTGTATTGTCAGAATTTGTGTCACGGTTGCCATTATAATATATCGCAAAACTGCAGTAGTTTCAACCGTTCAAAATCGAAGTGACGAGATAAAAAAAAGACATTCTGCTACAGTTGTCTACATTTTCGTCGCCCGAATATCAAGTTTTATAGCTCGCATTTGTCAAATGCATTGTCAGAATTTGTGTCACGGTTTCCATTGTAAAATATCGCAAAGGTAGTAATATTAAACGTTCAAAATCGAAGTGCCGAGATAAAAAAAAGACATTCTGTCACAGTTGTCTACATTTTCTTTGGCCGAATATCAAGTTTTATAGCTCGCATTTGTCAAGTGCATTGTCAGAATTTGTGTCACGGTTTCCATTGTGAAATATCGCAAAGGTAGTAATATTAAACGTTCAAAATCCAAGTGCTGAGAGAAAAAATGTCGTTCTGACAGTTTTCTACATTTCATTCAGCCGAATATCAAGTTTTATAGCTCGCATTTGTCAAGTGCATTGTCAGAATTTGTGTCACGGTTTCCATTGTAAAAATATCGCAAAACTGTTATATAGTATCAAACGTTCAAAATCCAAATGCTGAGAGAAAAAAGGACGACATTCTGCCATAGTTGTCTACATTTTCTTCGGCCGAATATCAAGTTTTATAGCTCACATTTGTCAAATGCATTGTCAGAATTTGTGTCACGGTTTCCATTGTAAAATATCCCCAAACTGTATCAAACGTTCAAAATCCAAATGCTGCAGCTGAGAGAAAAAGGACGACATTCTGCTACAGTTTTCTACATTTTCGTCGGCCGAATATCAAGTTTTATACTATAGCTCGCATTTGTCAAGTGCATTGTCAGAATTTGTGTCACGGTTTCCATTGTAAAATATCGCAAAACTGTTATATAGTATCAAACGTTCAAAATCCAAATGCTGAGAGAGAAAGGACGACATTCTGCCATAGTTGACTCATGCCCGTA